AGCGATGGAACAACCATAGCGATGCGGCAGCAATGGCGCATCGATGGAACAACGATAGGGATGGCGCACCGGTGGAGAGCGATGGCGCAGCGATGGAACAGTCATAGCAATGGCAGCGATAGCGATAGCAGTATCAGTGATAGCGATAGCAATGGCAGCGATAGCGATGGCAGCGATAGCGATGACGCACCGATTGAGAGATGGCGCAGCGATGGAACCAGTGTTGCGATTGCAGCTATGGTACCAGCGTTGCCATGACCAGCACTGCGATGAGAGCGATGGCGATTGTCAGCGCTGCGATGGTCAGGCGAGCGCGACGGCTGCGATGGGGGATATAGCTTTGCGTCGCGATGGCGATGAGCTAAGCGCATCGATGGCGATGGTCCATGGCTAAGCGCATCGATATCCAACGCCGTTGACATTTGCAAAATGTTCGAATGACAGCGACACCGGAACTTATAGATTTCCGGTGTTTTTGACCTCGGCGCACAACGAATCGCCGCGCCTTGGCGGGAAATAAACCGTCGCCTGGCCTCGACGCGCAACGAACTGCCTCGGCGCACAACGAATCGCCGCACCTTATAGATTCTTGCGCCTGACCTCGTGCGCTGAATCATGCCGATCGACGGTCCATATTAGAACTGCGAAAATGACATTGCCTGCCCCTTGTTTTCGGGAGCTATCACATCATTGCACGCCCGAGTTGACGGAGATTTTGGGGCCACTGGCATATAAGTGGCTCCGTTCATCTGCGCGGTTAAAAATTGTTGATCGACGGCTGACAATTTCCGGTACCCCTTACTGTTTATAAGCCCTGGCGTTTTATGGGCCCAGGGGTGCGATACGCGAATCGATTCGGTCCCACCTTGATGGCGTTTTATGGGCCCCAGGATGTGATATGCGAATCGATTCGGCCCCACCTTCATCACGACGTGAAGCCTGCTGCAGCAAAGTATAAAAGGCATTGCAGCCCTCGAGTTATCCCTTTTGTTGGCGCTCCACAAATCAAGTCGTGCTATCGCTTCCACACGCGTTATGATATTTGGTCTTCAGCCCCCCCCACCTTCCGCCATAGCCCGCTACCTCTTCGCTCTTCGCTCCGTCCGCAGTTGCCACATTGTGTTCGGTTCGCTCTTCGCTCTTCCTAACTCGATATCCCTCCACCATAGCTGGTTCGGTGGTCGCACATCCATATCCGTCCGATATTGGTTGCTCGCTCAACGCACGACGAAGGTAAAATTATATAACTTGAGTTGTCCTATTCTGTGTCCGACGTCCGATCACATTCCCAGATGCCCTGTCTATACCTGCAGGATATAACGCTACAGCCGCGTTCTGTTGAACCCCGAATCAATTCCCGGTTTTGTTGTTTCGCCAGTGGACGTGTTCTGATGTCTTTTCTCCACCCTCCACCTCTGTCCGCCATAGCCGATTCGCGTTCCGCAGCTCGATTACCTTTCCCCATAGCCACAATAATGTTCGTATGAAGCTGCTCGATCCCCTTCGCAACTTGTTGTCGTCGATGCGCATGGCGAACCCCGAATCAATACCTAGTTTCTACATTGAACACCGAATCAACTCCCGATTTTCGCTCACCTGTCCCTTGTGAGGTCGCCGACCTGATATCTACATATATATATATATAGATACATATATGTATATATAGAGATATATTGCGAGTCAGTTCCCAATTTGCGACGTACAGTGTTCGAGGAGTAACAACTGCGAGGTAATTCGCAGTTTTTCCAAGGTTAAACACATATTTCATTAAAGGCAGTTCTTTATTTCCACAAATGCGAGTTAGTTCGCACTTTTTGAGCAACACTGCTGGAGGAGTTGATAACCCATCCCGTGMGGCTTTCAKGTCTTCAGTTCCACAATTCCGAGTTAGTTCGTACTTTCCCCTAGTGCTGCGGGTTGCCATTGTTGTCTTGTCTACAGAACTGCGAGTTAGTTCGCACTTGTCGACACCCTTCGCACTTGTCGATAAACGAGGTCTTCAGTTCCACAATTCTGAGTCAGTTCATACTTTCCCCTTGTACTTCGGGTTGCAATTGTCGATAAACCACATCTTACTCGTCGATAAACCACATCTTACTCGTTTCGTGCGTCTTTCAGATCTTCAGTTCCACAATTCCGAGTTAGTTCGCACTTTTCCCTAGTGGTGCGGGTTGCCATTGTTGTTTTGTCTACAGAACTGCGAGTTAGTTGGCACTTGTCGACACCCTTCGCACTTGTCGATAAACCACATCTTACTCGTTTCGAGGGCATCTAGTCGGGTCGCAATCTTTCCGAAGAGTTGTCGTCTTCCCTCCGAACTCAATCTGCCAGCCACCCAATTGTTTTGTATTCGTTTGCATTTCAAACAACAATCTCATTCTTCGGTTTCCTTGAGCCTGGAACTGCACGTCGGTTCCCCCTTTTCGATACCCATGCGGTGCTTGTTGTAGACGACTTCATTCCCGAAACTCCGAGTTCGTTCGTACTTTCCTGAAGATAAATCACATCTTCCTCAATTCTACGACAGCAGCTCGTTTGCACTCTGCCAGAGGACTGTTGTCTTTCCTATCCTTCACCCGATTGTTGTGACTTCGTGTGCATTTCGAACACCCATCTCTTACGTCCTTTTCGTCCTCCGTTTCGTTAAGTCCGAGTTAGTTCGCACTTCGCTTCTATAGTGGTCCGAGGTTGGGCGTATTAGTCATCCGAGTTGGTCTGAGGTTGGGCGTGTTCGTCAACGGGTAGGAGTACAATGGTGTCCGCAAAGAACACATCCACAAGCGCTGGACCATCTGCCCCCGGGGAGGGACGACCTCTTCAGCAATCTGCTCCTCAGTATATGCACGCAAAGGGAGCACAATGGTTTTTGGACTTCGTTGTTCAGGGGGACCTTTTTGGGCCAACTGTTTTCATGTGACCCACTTGCGTTCCAGATGCTGGGGGAGCGGACAACATTCTTTCTCTCGGTACCATCGTCTCGTGCACCAAGACTCCTGGAGGTTTGCTGAAGCTGCACACTAACGGCTTGTACGATGAGTGCAGATTGTCTCTCAGAGGTGTTAAGGGTGTGCTAGTGACCATCAAGAGTTTCACGGGGTACGACTCGAACATGACATTGTGCTCTCACTTCAAAGGCCCTTACGATGGCGGCATAAAGCGTCTTCCATCGCCAGAGTAATATCACGATCTCGCGCTGATGGTGCAGAAAGAACGTCCGGTTCTTCCGCGAGAACATGTTTTTCGGCTTCTGCCACCCCATGAGGGGTCGTCCGGCTTGGCTCAAGAAACTCCAGGTGCGGCAGTGGGGCGCGGGAGTCCGATTCAAGACGCTGGGGTTCGGGTCAAGGGGCGCGCACGCAGTGTTCACACGCAGGTCGGCCCGGATGCTCCTCGGAACACGTCGGACTTGCATTCTCATGGTACAGGGACTCAACGGGTCGATACTCCGAAACTCATCAAGGTCCGCTGCGGCGGCGACACGTATTCGCTTCGAGATGAGACGAGAAGAGAATCCGGCAGATCGGGGCAAGGTGTCGAAGGGAATGAGGCTGAAGGGGTGGGAGCTGTCCGCGAAAGCTCTGGCGGGGAGCAGACTCCTTCGGAGAAGAAGTACGAGCGACAGAGGATGGTGCGAGAGGAGGTGGCGGAAGGAACCCTCCGCATGAAGAGGATGAGAGGAAAATCGGAGGCGGTGATGGGGGGGGATGGAGGTGACGTCGGAGAACATGCCTCGGGAAAGAGGCCGCCGAAGGAAGAGAGTGGGACGGCAAGTAAGAAAGCGAGGAGGCCCGGCGGTTTGACCATTCACGAAGGACAAGCCGTGGGTGGAGGAGATTCGGTTGATCCAGGCGCTGCGGCCGCGAGAGAACCGTCGAGGAAATCAAAACGGAAAGTGGCAGCTGAAGAAGGCGATGGTCAGAAGAAACCTCGAAGGCGGAAGACTACTGAGGCGGCGAGCGGGGGCGAACGGCTTGTCGGTGAGGAGTGCGATGAAGCGGCAGCGTTCTGGCTCGAATACGAGTGGAACGATGGCGGTGAAATCGTGGAGAAGGAGCTCCCCGTCCAACTGCTCATCGACCCCAGGAAGGTCTGCGATATCCCATCTTGGGAAAGATATTACAACCACCATAGTCTAAATCGCGAAACTGTGGACGACATCAAGGCTGCGAGGCTGGGTCAATTCCGCGAGAAAAGGGGGAAGATCTAGACGAAAAACCCTTTGGTTCTTGCACCCATCTACAAGCTGGTGACGAGTAGGCCGGAGAAAGCTGACAGGGTTCACAAAGATGTCTTCAAGCCAGAGGATAAGGACAAGTACTACTATTACCCTGTTAACGGTCAACACACCATGGCTGTTGTGAAGGAGTTGGAGGGTGAGCCAATATTCGATTTGTGGAAGATGCACTCGTGACCGGCGAGAGTAGTGTGGTTCTCCGACCAAGATTTCGCGGGCTATAGGCAGGTCAGTCTCAACGAGAATACGAGACACAAGATGTCTAAGCAGCAATCGCAGAAGGCCGTGTTCTTGGACATGTGGGAGGCATGGGAGAAAGAAGGAAGGCCTATGGCCAATCAAGGGAACCCTTCCGGCAAGGAGGCCAAAAAACGAAAGTTTTTCGAATTTCAAAAGCTGATTTTGGGAAAGAGTCCGAACGAACCTCACTGGGCGTTAGCAGAAAAAGATTTGTCGCTTGCCGACAAGGAGTATGTCGCTGCCGTTGGCAATGCATTGAGGCAGTGGATGCCGCTCGTGACGGTCGGTGATGACGTTTTCCGCAAATTCATGGGCTTCTATGCGAAATGGGCGGAGGGGAAGTTGTTGGGCGGCGACGGCAAGACGCCATTGTCGAGGTCGGGCAAATACATGCCAGACAAATCTCCGGGTCTGCAAGGAATTCCGGAAATGGGCTCGAAAGGGGCAACTGGTGAAACGAAGATGGGGTGGCTCGTCCGGGTCCCGCCGCCTCCGACCAAAAAGAAAACGCAAGCGGACGATAAGTTTTTTGTGGTCGTGAAGGAGCTTGACATGTTCTGTTGGCAGTGTCTCGCCGACATGACGGATGTCGATAAACTGTCGATCCTTGACGACATTCTCGCGCTAAGGGGAGTGTTCATGCAATCCGCAGGCGGCCATCTGAAGCGTCAGCATAAACCAAGAATTAAAGACATGGTCGCGACGAGGAAAGTGGACCGTCTGATGCTCCGTATGTTCCACTACATCTTGTTACTTGAAACAGAGGAGGACGAACATGTTTGGCGTCACGGGAGCCCTTTTTTTCAGACCGAGGGGAAGCTTCTGGAGGAGTTCGGGCCGCACGGCCTCACGAAACAGGTGTAGGTCGAAATGCGAAAGCATTTCCAAGACGCAGTGGAGTACGTGAACACTTGCAAACGTACTCTTCCGCACGAAAAGGAGTCCATCGACGACCCGAAGAGATTGTACGATGATGACAGGTTCCCTAAATCTTTCGAAAAGTCTGTCCGTTCCATCTTGCGACGGACAGAAGAAGGAGTTCGAGACACGATCAGGGTCAGTGGGGATGTGAGGCACATCAAATGGCCCAACCTCAACCGGGTGACCATCCTTATTCCTTTCGCTTTTCCGCCTTCCCAAGCTCACAGTCATGTCACTGCGATCCGTGAGGTTGTGCGACATTACATGTGCAACCTGTACGTCCTCGATTTGTGTGATCCCACACTCCTCACAGATTGGCGAGAAGACGATTTCGCCAACTTGCAAGGCGTTCTCCAAACACTTTCGCCAACGCACTGGGCACTTGTGGTCTTTTTCCCCTCTCGTTGGGAGCTTAGTTTCTTGAAAGGCATGGCCAGGCTTAGCGTCCATCACGTCAGGACAGGGAAGTGGGTGCGCAATGCACAAAAGTAGGCCACTGTCCGGGAAGGCAATATGCTGGTTGAGGAGTGTGACCGCCTGTACGTGATTTTTAATGGCGAGAAGCTGGAAGACAACACATTCGCAGTCTATCCGGTCAGTAGCCCGACAAAGGCTTCCCGTGCTCATGGTCCAAGTCCGGCCAAACACACGGTGGCGGCCCGCTCGAAAGTTGTGTGTTCGTCGGACCCATCAGGACAGGCTGTGGCGTGTTTCGACGTGGCGAAAGAGGAAAGGTTCTTTCGTAGCATGTGGGAGGACGGCGGCGTGACAAGTTCTCAAGGACCTGCTTATGGGGAGATGGAGCGGAACGCGTCCCGTCTACTTAGTCTACTCGAAAACTTTTGCAAAGTTGGGCAAACTATTTTTTTCTTTGGAAAGGCGCATGCGTGTGTCGTGTGGGAACTCCTCCGCACCGGTCGGAACGTCGTCGCGTTGGAGAAGGAGACGAAGATGATCGATTACCTTCACGAGTTCGTGAAGACTCGTGTTGCAGACACTCGCAATGCTTGCGAGTTTGTCCACACCACCGGCGAACGAAACTGGGATCCCAAACGTGACATGTATTGGAAAATGCCGGGGAACAAAAGGATGGAGGTTTGGGACTTCCTTTTCCAACCCGGACCGCCTGGTCCGACCGACCTCGAATACAGTCGACGGAGAAACCTGGTGTTTGGTGTGCTAAATGGGTACTACGATGCACCCAGGGAGTCTAACTTGCATTTCCTGAAAAGGCTGGAACACGTTGACTTCACGCTGGCCGAACCGCTCACCCTGGAAAACTACAAGTCACAGTTTGACGAGGAGGACCCTTTCGACACTGAAGACATGTAGGAGTTGAGCGACTCGGAAACCTTCGATTTTGAGTTCATGCCACTTCCTCGGGTGGTTGGGCAGGTTGGTGATGAAGAGGAAGGTGGCCCTCGGAGATATAGCACGTCCCCTGCCGGTTTGAAGCGTGTGTTTCGGGCCGAACCAGTTGACAACCAATCGTCTGATGACGGGGAGGAAGACAGAGACTATGATCACAAACCTTGTGACAGGCTCCCTGAGGACCACGACACCTGGCAGAATGACAGACTCTACTTATTCGGCAAGCATCACCGGTTCACGGTGGAGGATGTCTAGGGACACAACGTCGTCTGACACCCGAGGATATTCCAACCTGCTGTGAGGAATGGAATGTGGGTCATGGCAATGAAGGAGGCCGATGGCAAGTGGACTGGACTGAAGAGACTGGGAGCGGGTGCATTTAAGAGAACAGCGAGAACTGCTCTGGTGGAGCATTTGAGTCTTAAGAACCCCGGGAGGAACGATCCAGACGTCGCTGCGTATGCAGAACAAAAGCTAAATGAGTTGTACGCCAACAACATGGAGTTTTGAGCGCCTTTCTCCACATTCCAAACGGCACCGTCTCGTGGCATTGACTGGTGCATGCCGCAACCTCCGTCGAGCGGTCAGCATTCGGGAGGGGGTGGAGGAGGAGACGAAGGAGACGGCGGAGGTGGCGGAGGAGACGGCTCACAGTTTGCCGGAAACGGGACGGGCGAGACATCGTCGGTAGAGAAGGCGTCCGGCGGAAAGGGGTCAGGCGAAAAGGACTCGGGCGGAAAGGGGTCGGGCGGGAAGGGGTCGGGCGGGAAGAGGTCGGCCGGAAAGCGTAGAACGTCCGGGAGTCCCCAATATATGGAAACAGACCCTCACTGCGTTGGGAGTCAAGATTCCGACATGCGAGACGAGGCCACCCTGATGTCTGATCAAGTGCGAGTAGATTCCCACTTGTCTGCGAGGACTTTGTTTCCCGTTCTCGAGGAGAGTCCATCCCGCCGTGTGCAGCAGAGGTCTCCTGTGCTCAACACCTTGCTCCTGAAAGAGGGCGCGTCTTTGTTTTGCCTGGAGGGCGGGATGCCTGCATTGCGAAGGAGCGAAGGTGTGACCTTCAATTCCCTCGGCTCGGACGACCGCCACAAACTCCGAATACATTCGGAATTGCTGACGTCGCCCTCCGCCATAAGTTCTCCTCACGCAACGGTTCCGCGGGGCCAAGAAAATGTCACGTCCTGCCCCCCGCATCTTCAGTTGGATACAGGGTTGCCCTGCTCGCCTCCGTTCTCATGTGTTGAGACTCGACACTGGCGGTCTCGCGACGTGCTGGAGGGGCCCGCTGCAGGAGTGTTGGAGACCGGGGGTAGCGAGCACGAACGTCACACTCCTGGGGAGCGCTCTCCAGGAACGCGTGCTGTTCATCGGGAAGAGGAGACTCAACGCTGGCAGTCTCGCAAAGTGTTGGAGACCGGGGGTAGCGAGTGTGAACGTCATGCTTCGGAGGGTGCGTCCGTGGATACTGACAGCGAGAGTGCAATCCGGGGGAAACGCATGCTCTACAGCGGGGAGAGGAGACTCGACACGGGCATGCTCGTGAGGACGTGAAGTGGCTCCACGCACGGGCGCTGGTGATCGGGACGTCCGAAGAGGTTCTGCACAGTCGTTCGGCTGTGGCCACGACGCGAGAGGGTGTCGCTAAGGGAGGTAAGTGGACGTCCGTGCAAGCTCCCGTTCTTGGTGGCGATGAAGACGAAGAAGAACCCGCGATGGAAGCTCGGGTTAATGGCGATGAGAAAGGCGGAGAACCCGTGATGGAAGGCGGTGAGGTGACTGTCGACATCCAGACAGATCCACAGCGGAAAGATGGTGATTGTTCGCCCACCCGTTGCGGTGAAGAACAGGGTGGTCGACCGTCTGTCCTAAGCACCGCTCGGGGAATGGTGCTTCATGAAGCCATAGAGTTGGCTGACGAGTCGGCAGCCATCGAGCTGGTTAGCGACTCAGGCGTGGCCGAGATGCAGAACGCCGAATCCTCCGTGGAAGGCGGTGAGGTGGCCGTCAGCATCCAGATAGATCCAGAGCGGAAAGATCATGATTCTCCGTCCACCCGTTGCGGTGCCGAACAGGGTGATTGAGCATCTGTCTTGAGTACCGGTCGGGAAATGGTGCTTCATGAAGCCATCGACTTGCCAAGCGACTCAGCTGCCGCCGAGCTGGTTAGCGACACAGCCGTGGCCGAGGTCCAGAACCTCGAATCGTCCGTGGACGTTGCCGCAGTGGTGCAACAGGAGGGCGAGTTCCCTCAAAGGGCTCCCGATCACGGTAAGATTTGTGAATAGGACCACTCGCATATCGGTCACTAGCCAGCTCTGTGTTCGTCCAAATTGATGTCATGGGCTAATGTACCTATTACCAATTGTTAAAAAAAAGTTTGTGGGTTGTGGGTTGTTTTCTATGTTCTACAAGTGTGAGGTTGTTAATGTCCTTGCCCATGAAGCCTTTAAAAGCCGTACGCGAGAAACGTCTTTGAGGGAGGTCATTGGCCGCTTTACCGAAGAAGTCGTTAAGTGTAAGGTTGTTTAAAAGGGTCCAGATGCGTCGCCTTTCCCAGAGAGTTGTCAGGGTTCTGAAGGCTTGTGGAATAGATAAGGAGGAACGTCTGCGGAAATATTTTGTTGCGTTTATTGAGAGCGTTACTGCTTTGTCTGATGGGTCTGATAACGATGGCAAACGGGGTGTCTTGAAAGACCCGTGTCCTAAGTACATTGCCAAGGACACTTTCAACAGTTGGGGATACAACTTTTCTGGGAAAAGGGCAGACGGTTCTTAGCCATTCCGCCCCGGGGTTTTTGGTCACTCCTCACACTTGTTCGTGGGTGTTTGTGCAGCTGGGGCTACATCATGTTTTCGCGTTCCCTTGCCTACTGAGGAGCTTAGCGCTACGGACTTCAGAATGTTGTAGGACGTCTGCGGAGATTTCAGCAACGGCCACCAGGTGGTTTCCTCGGTTCGCAGAGGTCCCAGTTCGATTTCGTTGACCAGAAAAAGTCTTTAAACTCTTGTCCAGGGGGGATGGCTTTCCGACGAGGTGGTGGAGTCGTACTTGGCCTTGCTTGCCAACGCAGCGTTCCCTGGGGGGTCCCTCTCTTTACATTTTCAGTCCCTTTTTCTATACCAAGCTCGTCGGTGGCGACTATCGACATGAAAGGGTTGCGAAATGGACAAAAGATGTGGATATTTTCTCGTACGGCATGGTCTTGATTCCTGTCCATAAAAATCGAGTGCATTGGACCCTATTATGTATCCGAGAACAAGGGTTGGAGTACTACGACTCCCTCCTGCAAGACGATGGCGGTTTTTCTTTCGATGTGCTTGCGAACTTCACGCAATACCTCTGTGACGAGGCTGTTTGTCGATATGGTCAACAAGCCAAAATGGATCTCCCGGCGCCCAAGGTGGTTGCTCATGGTGTCCCTCAACAGTCGGACGGGTCGAGCTGCGGTGTTGTCATGCTCGCCTTCGCTTCTTTTCTTGCACGCGGCTATCCGGCACCATTTTCGATAACCCAAAGCGACATTGCAAACATTAGGCTGAGGATTGCGGTGGACATACTCCAAGGCTCTGAATAATACCCCTGTTGTTAAAATACGTGTAGTTGTTTTTTCCAAAGGCCATAAGCAGAAGTGCGAATCTTTTCCCACTTGATCTAGCAGTCAGCCGGTTCGAGCTGTGCTGTTGTTTTGATGAGGCACCGGAATGCAGTGGACGTTTTGGTCAAGTACACGCTTAGGTGTCGATGTGAATATCCCAGCCTCGTGCTGTAGCAATTTTTTAAGGGTTCTTCATTTCGTGGAACCTGCCATCTTTACTCGTAGGACTTTCGGCAGCGTCGTGCTGCCTTTGTTTGTTTTCGGGTTGTTCTCATTGCTTGCCGCGCAACATCAGCTAGAGGGTAGCAGCGGACGCTTACGGGAAGTAGAAGCTTAGATGCCGATGTAAATATCCCAGCCACGTGGTGCAGTTCCTTTTAAGTAGACGCTTACATATCGGATGTGAATATCCCAACTTTGTGCTCCTTTTGTTTATTTTCGGGTTATTCTCCTTATGTCTTCTCAGACCGCGGTAGCACCGTGCTGAGTTTGTTCATTTCGAGGTTGTGCTCCTCTGTTACTTATATGAAAGATATCGACGATTTATTCTTGGTCACCAAATTGTTTCGTGCTTATCTCTTTCGTTCGCGAGACTTTGTGGTGTGAAAGCCCCTCTCCCCCGCCCCACCCCGACCACCCAGCTTTCATATGTTTTGGCTCGCCCTTCTTCTGTGTGTGCCACCCCGTTTTACGGTTCACCCCCTCTGCTTGTCTCCATTGAATGTTGTCTGTTGGTTCCTTATGACAATTGCGAACTTGTTTTCCATTTGGAAACCACTTGTCGCCAGAATGTATGTGTGCTTGAAGTTGTTTTACGGATTCAGCGGTGCACTGAATGATTACCAATTTTGTTATCCCCGAAATACATCTCGTGCTCTCCACGGAATGCTGGTTGTTGTTTCCGTATCAGAAATGCGAACATATTCGCACTTTGGATGCCGTTTATTTGTGATTGAACTGTTGGTTTCATATGAGAAATGAGAACATATTCACACTTTGGCTCCATGTACTTTGTAATTTTTGGAAAGCCTCCGTGCACTTTGCAATGTGGGATTGTATGATATTTTGCGTTTAATGATTTTTTGAAACGTCTCTGTGTGCTTTGCAATTTGCCCTTGAATGAATTTTCTACATTGAATGGTTTTTGGAAACTGTTTGTGTGCTGTGAGACTTCACCTTTGGAAAAACACTAGGCAACTTGAGATGTTTTCACCTCGATGTTTGCGATGTCTCTGTGTGCTTTGCAATTTGACTTGAGATGTTTTCATCTCGATGTTTGCGATGACAAGAGATACTTGTATGAATGGATATGAATCTTCTACACAGAAATATTTGATGGCGTTTTCAACCTGTAATATACAAATGACAAGCCAATGTCCATATTAAATCGTCGCGCTGATGGACTGCGCAACTGCTTCTCCATCAAAGTGCGAGTTCAATCGCACTTCTGGTGTGAGCCCTGAGCAATTCCCTCGCACTTTGCTTCACGTCGAGGAGGGAATTGAACGCATCGCCGGTAAGCACCTGCATATCACGAAACAAGACACGTCCCAATTGGAACATCATCGGGTTCTTGCGATGTCGACTCCCACATGATGACTACACTGAACATCGGTAGGATGACCGCTCTGCCTCTCCGATGTGGATCTAACGGTGGATTGCGTCAAATCTGCTCTCATAGATCCGTGCCCGGGATGGGGGACGGGATCCGACCACAGTTTGCTTGTAAGGCATCATATGATGTGTCGATATAACCGACATCCAGAACTGCTTGGTGAGCATCTAGTGCTACGCCAATAAGTTCCAAACACGGCAGCAAAGTCCCCTAATAGTGTTCTTTTTGGGATCCTCACCTCATCGACTCTCAAAATGACTACAGTCAACAACGGTAGGATGGCAGGTCCGCCTATCCGATGTGGATCTCACGATGGAGCACGAAACTCTGCTCTTAAAGATCCACACCGGGTGGAAGGTCCTGCAAGCAGCCGCTGCTTGCTTGTAAGACATCTTATGATGTGTCGATATGACCGACATCCAGAACTGCTTAGTGAGCATCTAGTGCTACGCCAATATGTTCCAAACACGGCAGCAAAATCCCCTGACAGTGTTCTTTGTCGGGTCCTCACCTCGTCAACTCCCTCAAGATGACTACAGCTGACAGCGGTAGGATGGCATGTCCACCTATCCGATGTGGATCTCACGGTGGAGTGCGAAACTCTGCTCTCAAAGATCCACACCGGGTAGAAGGTCCCGCAAGCATCCGCTACTTGCTTGTAAGGCATCTTATGATTTGTCGATATAACCGACATCCAGAATTGCTTGGTGAGCATCTAGTGCTACGCCAATAAGTTCCAAAAACACGGCAGCAAAGTCCACTGAGAGTTTTCTTTGCCGGATCCTCACCTCATCGACTCCCTCAAGATGACTACAGCTAACAGCAGTAGGATGGCAAGTCCACCTATCCGACGTGGATCTCACGGTGGAGTGCGGAACTCTGCTCTCAAAGATCTATACCGGGCAGAAGGTCCTGCAAGCAGTCGCTGCTTGCTTGTAAGGCATCTTATGATGTGTCGATATAACCGACATCCAGAACTGCTTGGTGAGCATCTAGTGCTACGCCAATATGTTCTGAACACGACCGCAAGGTCGCCTAAGAATGCTTTTAGCACTGAAGTCCTCTGACCGCCGACTGTTTGGCACTTCGTGAAGGTTGAAAAGGTGGTCAGTTACCAAATAGATCACGACCTGACATCAACCTCGATAACTGCGAATTGACTCGCTGTTCAACTAGAGTCTCTCTCTCTCTCTCTCTCTCTCTCTCTCTCTCTCTCTCTCTCTCTCTCTTTCTCTCTTTCTCTCTCTCTTCTCTTTCTCTCTCTCTCTTTCTCT